AGTGATGCCTCCTGCCACCCAACAGTGAGATCTAATCACTGCATCTCTGGCAGAATGAAACCCAGTGTGATCATCATTATCATATCACCACCACTGTCACTGCTATCACCACCAGTGCACCATCACCACAATCACTGTCATCACCATCAACACCATCACCTCCGCTCTTCACATCGTCAGCATCACCACCCCTCCTGTCACTATCTCTGTCACTGCCGTGACAGCAACATCTTCATCATCATCAATCTTATCATCACCAACATCACCGTCATTCCCACTGTCATCATCACTGTTAGAGTCATGGCGTTGGCACTTCATCATTGCCAATCTTATCAACACCATCAAAATTGTTATCACCTCCATTCAAATCCGTGCCAAAGTCACCACCCCTGCTGTCATTGTCACCGTCGCTGTCATGGCATCAGCATCTTCATCATCACCAACCTCATCAACACCAACATCATCACCACCATTACTGTCATCACCACCAACATTATTATCACCTCCTCATTCATCAACACTTATATCACCATCATCAATTCTACCATTATCATCACCATTACTGTCATGACATTGACATATTTATTGTCATCAACCCCATCATCACCATCCCATCATTATGTCACAACATCAACATTATCATCAATTCCGCCCTCATCAATGCCATCACCAGGATCATAAATAGCCCCACAATACGGTCTTCACTGTTACAACTATCATTACAGTTACCTTTACCATTATCCCCACAATCGATGTCAAAATCTAAATTACTTCCATCAAGATCATTCTTACAATTTTCCACGTCTTCATAATTTGTGATTGGTCCACACTCCCCTGCCTCAGCCAAACAGGATACCCAGACCTCCGGCCTGGTAAGAAGGCCATGACCCAGGAAGTTGGGCTAGGTGGCGGTAGAGGTGCCAGGGCAGCATTTGCCTGCATGCTTAAAGGCCTAGGTCAAAGGGGAAAATCCAAAATACAGATTCTTGAAGGTGGTAGTGGGAGGGAATGAGACACACAAGTCATTTGACTAAGTCATTCATCGGAAGGTCCTAGAGGGAAACGAGAAAGAGTAGAAACAGGAGATGATGGTATTGAAACCAGGGATGTCAGCAGACAGCTAGAAGGTTCAAAACAGAGGTAGGAGGTAGAGCATGAGAGAAACCTACAGCTTTTATTGGGTGCTCATGGCCTCTGGCTTGGGCAAGAAGAAGTGACCAGGCCTGGATAGCTGTCACGTATTCACTGGCACCATTTCTTCCATGTTGGTATCCAGCCTCCATGGCTACGAAGTGACTCACAAGTGGCCTCTTCCTGCAGGCAGCACCTGCCCTTAAGGGGACAAAGTGATCAGAGTAGACACCCACACACTCAGACAGCAGAAGAACAGCATGAACAGTCAATGAGAGTACAGGTCAGGGACTGGCCTCCTTTGGACAAGGGCACAGAAAAGGAGAACTGTCCCTAGATTGGACAATTTTATCAACATACCCAGAGTTCCCATTTTTGAACCATTGATTATCACTGGGGTTTGTCTCACACACACAGTCACACAAAGTGTTGCCAAGGTGTCTTGACTCTAGGGTGACAATAGCAGGGACAAAGCAGTGCCTCCCTGTCTTGGCCTCTAGTCCCACAACTGCAGGGGCATCAGGAAGGCACCATGTGCCCCGCTGTGCATCCTCTTCTGCACTTGGCATTGGCCACTAAGAATCCTGGTGAGCGGGAGATGCCCTCTGTGCTGGCCCCACTGCTTCCCATACCTGGCTGTCCTGCCCCATGTTCCAGCAGATTCCTAGCAAGAACTACACCCCACCCCCACCCCAGAGTGCTGTATCTCTCACCTAGGCCATAAATGCCATTCTCTGGTTCTTGGGGGAAGTACAAATTTCAGGAAAAATAACTACTTTACATACTGTCTCCTATTCCCAGGAGCGAGGGAGGAGGAACTACATGTCAGTGGAGAAGAAAAATACTCTGAAGACCACACATTCTCACTGACTCGAAGCCATCTGTATCTTTAGATCCATTTGTTCCACCCTTAACCCAGGCAAGAGGGCCCTTTTCCCAGGGCCTGTGCTTTGGAGGTGCTACCCTCGCCCTCCTCTGGTACACATCTCCTCCCAGGAGAAGGGGGGTCAGTGGGACCAAGGAGACTTTCCCATTAGGACCCTGTGCCCTGCCCTTCTCATCATTGCTCCAAGTATGTGGAACCCTGGATTTCCTGCCCAGTTGGACCTGAACCCACCCCCAGGCCTGCATGAGCCTCATCCCCAGGCTGACCTACTGAGGGAAAGTCATGCTTCATGGTGACACTCATAGACCCTATCTAAGTCTGACCAAGGGGCAGATGTTTGCAGCGGTGTGGACAGAGCTCAGATGCTAGGTCCAGCGTGTCCACATGGAGAGTGCAAGGCCCTTTATGGTGCAGGGTGGAGCCAGTGGTCAAAGAGAAGGGGGCAGGATGGAGGCTAGTGCCACCTCTCCCCATTCCCCTGAGCATGAGAAGTCTCCATTCTCATCTGACTTTCCAGGTGGTTATATTTGTCAAGACGGAAGGAAAGGGCATATTTTATGTAACAGCTTGTTAGCTTGACTTAACAATGTTTAACTATATAGCCACATGGTATATGGGCTTCCACTTGTACTCTAGCTCGGGGCCCTGCTAATCTTAGGGATGGGCCTGCGCACGGTAGGTCATTCCCAGAGGCCCTTGGGGCATCCAGGATGCACCTGAATCCAGGGTGTATCCATGCTTAGGTGCTCTGTCTTGCCTACTCCTACACGCCTCATATGGTCATACATGTGCATGTAGTTCATTCCCATGGCCCCAGGCTGGCGCGTTTGCTGATGCTCTTCAGTTAAGGCTGTTCTGGTTGCAAGTGACAGAAAACCACTGGCTTAACTGGCTTAAACAAAAAGAGAATGTATTGGTTTATGTAACCAAAGTCCAGGGTTCCACTTGATCAGGGGCTCGTATTTCTTTCTCTCTCTTAGCTCTGCTCACCTCCACACTGACTGTGTTCACAGGCAAACACTGCACATTCTTTGTGACCACAAGGTGGCCACTGTACCTCCAGATCTTACCTCCTCCCAGGTCCACTTACAGAGGGAAAATGCTCCCTTCTCAGTGCCGCCAGGTCTCATGGCATCCCATTGGCTCCAACTGGTCACATGACCATTCTGTAAACCAATGGCTGTGGCCTGAGGGAGGTCAGTGAACAGTCAGCCTAGATGCTAATTCACTTACCCACTCCTCATGGGTTGGGAGTAGAAAAGGCAGTGGAGCCCGAAGGGAAAGTAGAGATAGTTACCAGAAGACAGGGCAGTGGCTCTTGGGAAGTCCTCCCCTTGATGCCCCGAGAGGTCCATTTTATGGTTCTTTTAGGCACAATCCCTGTATGATCCTACATCCCTCTTTGAGTCCCAACTGCCCTGGGTCTGCTCATTTCATGCCATGATCTGCCCACTGATGTTTGACCTTCCCAGAAGCATCTGCTGTCTGAACCGCCTGAGTCCTTGGGCCTCCCCCAACAATTTGAAGGCAGAGATTCAGCACTCATTCTCTCAGCAGATGTTGATTAAGCACCTGCTGAGACCATGTACTGTTTGAGGCACTGTGGATACAGCAATAAACAACATAGATCAAGCCCTTGCCTCCTTGGAGCTTACTTTCTAGTAGGAGGAGAAAGTCAGCAAATGAATAAGACTTCCATGGTTATTTAATAAATAGAAAGAAAGAAGGAGCTAGAGAGAGAGAGAGAGAGAGAGAGAGAGAAGGAAAGAACATGGGGTTGAGAGAGTATGGCTGGATGGGGATTGCTATTATGGGTCGGGTAGTGATTTCTCTCTAAACAGACATGCAGGTGCAGAGACCTGAAAGAAGGGAGGGGGAGAGTCATGTGGAGATCTGAAGGAAGAGCAAGCACTCCAGTCAGACAGAAAGGACAGCAAGTGCAAAGGCCCTGTGGCAGGAGTTTCCCTAGTGTGTGTAAGGAACATCATGGAAGCTAGTGGGGCTTAAGTACTTTGAGGAAAGGAGAGAGGAAGTCAGAAAAGTAGATGGTGGGGACAGCGATTGGGAGGAGCTGCAACAAGTAGGGATTTGCTGGTTACTATTAAAGACTTTGGCTTTTACACTGAGTGAAATGGGAACCCTTGGAGCAAGAGTCATGTAATCCACTAGTTTGTAAAAGGCTCACTCTAGCTGCTGAGTGCAGAATAGATAGTAGAGATGATTACTGAGGAAGCTGGAACCAGTGAGGAGCCTTCGGCAGACATCCAAGTCAAAGATGACGGTGGCTTAAACTGGGGTAGGAATGGCGAGAAGTGGTCAGATTCTGATATATTTAGAAGGTGAAGCAACAGGAGTTGATGATGGATTGGGATGTGGGATACGAGAGAATGAGAAGAGCCAAGACAAAACCAGGGTTTCGGGCATAAGGCACTGAGACAGTGGAGCTGCCATTTACCGAGATAGGGGAGGCTTGGAGGAGAAGAGGGGGTTATGGTCTGAGCTACATCTTAGACATCCAAGTGGCAGTGTTGAGTGAGAGACAAAATGTACAAGTTGGATTTTAGGAAACAGGTTGGGGCTGGAGATCTTAGTTTAAGAGTCATCAGCGAGAGTCATCGGTGTTTCATTTCTCTTTGTTTCTCAAGTTCCCGCCCAGAACAGGGCATGGTGCAGAGCTGGTGATACTAGTCACGATGATGACGACGTCAAAAGTAATCATCATTTCTATTTCATGAGCGCTGCCCTGAGGGTCTTATGTGCATTATCTCATTTGACTTCCTACAATCCCACAAGGCAGGGATTATTACAACCCTGGTTTCAAAGAGATTGCCAGTCATCTACGCTCAGAAGTTCCAGTTGCTGTTTTTCCCAGGTGTTTCTGGGATCATCAAAATCATTGCCCCTTCTCATTGCCTCCAGTCCCCAGCTGCCTGATAAGACCTGGCACTGACCCCTGTACTGCCCTTCTCTCCCTCTGTTGCAGCCTGTGACCAGCTGGCACTGGGCGTGGTGGCAATCTTCGGCCCGTCACAGGGATCCTGCACCAACGCGGTCCAGTCCATCTGTAACGCCCTGGAGGTGCCCCACATCCAGCTACGCTGGAAGCACCACCCACTGGACAACAAGGACACCTTCTACGTGAACCTCTACCCTGACTATGCCTCTCTCAGCCACGCCATCCTTGACCTGGTTCAGTACCTCAAGTGGCGGTCGGCCACCGTGGTCTATGATGACAGTACAGGTGGGTGGCCAGGCCTCGCCAGGGCAGGGTTAGGGTGCAAGGGGAGAAGAGCCCTAGGATGGGGCTCTTGGCTGCTTGCCCAACTGAGCTACCCTGGGGAAAATGTCCTCACTCACACCCAAGCTTCACCCAGGCACACCGACACGGGTTCCTGTACTCAGCCCTGTGGACACCAGCCACACTCCCACCTCACTCAGCCCCAGCCCACCTCACACCTTCCCCATCCACCTACCTCCACCCCAGCAGCATGCTCAAATCTGTACTCAGCACCCTGCCAGCACTCACACTCGCACAGCCACACCTGCCTGCACTCACACTCACATGCCTCCATCCGCAGCAAACGCGTCCAGCCCTGTGCTGACTCGGAGCACAGGCTTTGAACTCAAACCGGCCAGTACATGTGTGCCAGCTCTGACGCTTACTAGCTGGGCAGCAAGGAGCTATTGCCTCTCCTCTTTCCTTCCAAAGATTCGAGTCCCAAGACATTTCTTAGCCCCACCTCTTAAGAGAGAGTGACCTTGCCAAGTCACTTAACCCATCTGGCCCCGCTCTGCCCATGCTGTCAAGTCAAGAGCTACAGCATCCAGCCTGGAAAGAGCCCTCTGGCTCTCAGCTGCCTGTGATTCAATGTCAGCTCTTGATTACCTCCTAATGGGGAGTGGGAATTGCAGGGAGAGAATCCAGCAGAAAAGACGTTCCGAAGTTATTGATTTAGCTTGAGATTCTACCGGTATCTGTTGAGGTCCTGCTGTATACCCAAAGCGCCAGACTTGAAGATTCAGGAGGGCAGGAACCCCCACCCCTCTCAGTGCCCCCAGCATGAGGTCTCTGCCATTGAGGGGCACTCCTGCCCAGCTCCAGGTCACCTCTGGTGTTTCTGCAGCCCTGTCAATTTATCTCTCTTAATATGCCACTAGAATGATTGTCTTTGAGCCTGTTTCTGCTTCCAGACTATGAGCTTTCTGTGCCTCTAGGGTTTAGGACAGGGCCTGGTACAATGTAGATGTTTTTAAATGTTTGTTGAATTAAATTGAATTGAATTGAATCGAATTGAAAATCAAGTTGAAATAAATTATAGTTAAATTTGCAGAAAAGAGTGCGTTGGGCCCTGGTAAAGAAGAGGAAATGAGGATGCAGTTACCCATATGCTTTTGAGAAGTTATTCACATTACAGGGGAGTGGGTGCCCACCCAGAAGTCGCTGGTCATTCCAGGCCATCAGAGCTAAGAATCGAGCAACATGTACTTACATTCAGGGCTAAAGGTACTTGGGAAGAGGAAGCTCTGTGGCCTTGACTAGCCTAGGCTGACTTACCGGAAGAGAGAGACATGAGCTTGGACTTGAGGATGGATGGACAGGGAGAGGCGTCGTGAGGGCACTACAGGAGGAGGGAACAGCATGAGCAAAAATGCGGAGGTGGGACTGGGCATGACAGTCTTATCAAGAGGACGGCCTAGCTGGAAGAGAGGATTCAAGTATGATAGGAGCCAGAGGGATTTTTCTTAATGTGACTGGTGCCCCTTATCAGGGAGGGAAACCTGTCTCAGAACCTTCCAGCTCTTTGAATGTGCCTACTACCTTGAGCACGGTCCAATGGGAATGGGATATCCGCTGACTGACTCCTCTCAAACTTGAGTCATCTCTTGGGACTGACACATTGCCACCTAAACAAAATCATGGTTCTCTTAGCATGCTAGAAGGGGGTATACCAGTTACCTATTTTTACAATACAGATTGTAAAACTCATGATGGGTCTCTAATTTTCACCCTATTGTTAGCATGCTGCAAAACTCCGGGAGGGTCACTTAACCTCTCTCCGCCTCAGTTTCCTTATCTGTAACATTGGAACAAAAGTCCCTAATCTGCATGCTTTCTAGGACAGGGAGATGGTTAAGTTGGGTAATGAATGCAGAAGTGCTTTGTAAGTGAAAAGCCTGATTCCAGCAACATGATTCACTGCAGATATTTTGAGAGAGATTGATTAGGAAAGCAGCCAGGAAGGAGAGCTCATCTCGGGCAAACAAAAGAGCCGAGTCTTCTGTTGGGGTTGGTCGAGAAGAGCCTCTGGTCTCCTTGGGGAATACACTGATGAGAAGGAGGTCTGACATTTGCTGCTGGAGAATGTGGGTCACCATATATTACACTTGGCTCAGAGGAAGGCTGTGGTGGCCTCTGCTCCGGCAACCAGGCTGTCCCTGTCCTCATGTCCTGGGTCCCCAAAGCCCATATGCCTGCTGATGCTGTGCGTGAGTCTGAAAACCGAGCAAGAGGGAGCAAAGTGTGCACTCAGGGCCTTGTGGGACAGCAGGTGTGAGTGGGAAGCATCATTCTGCCAAACTAAGAATTTCTGAAATTAGTTTGGGGAGGGGGCTAAGCCTGGGTGTGTGTTTGGGGGGAGCTTGTGGTCCCTCACTCCTCTGCTAAGGTCCACTGATATCCTTGTGCTCTTCCCCATCAAGTCTGTTTTTAGGAAACACTGGGCCCCTGTCGATCCAGCCATTCGGGACTCTAGAGCCCTTTCCCAGCACAGTCACCTGGGTCTGAGACCTTCCAGGAGACCAGGGCTTCCTGATGCCCACAGCTGTGGCAGGGCTTGCTTGGGAGGTCTTTGGAAGGCTTAGGTCCCAAGCTCACACCTCTGTCCTCCCCAAGCAGAGTGAAATGAATGACATCAGTCAGATTGCTTTCCTGACTTCCAGACCTCAGGAATGGGGGTGAGGCTAGACAGACAGACCCAGACATGTATACCAGAAATGGCTTTGGAAACAGAGGCTCTCTGTTTGGAAGGCTTCTGAACTGGGCTGTCTGTGTTGGGGACTCTGTCTAGGTAGTTGATTGCAAACTTTAATCTAGTACAAACTAGTTTAAGTAAAAAAAAAACAGTGGGGGAAGGGATTTTGTTGGCAGCCTTAATGTAAAGTTAAGGAGTAATTTTGCCTTCAGGTACTGTTTGATCCAGAGGCTCAAAGAAGTATCTTCAGGACTTTTTTTCTGTTTGGCCTCTCTGACTTCTGCCCTGTTGGAATCTTTCTCAGTTCTATGTGATGACCCCCCAGGCTTTCTTCCTCCCTACTGGGAGTTAAATGGAAAAGGAGGTACATCTTACCAGTTGCTCTAGCACAGTTTCTGGAAGTCACCTTGATAGGACCAGTTGGTGTCACCTATCCCTCTCGAAGCCCATACCTATACCCGACTGACTAGGCTGGGGCCACATGCTGTGCCTTTGCAGCTGGGAATGGATCCTTCTTGAGTCATATGGACTGAAAGAGGGGGATGAATTGTTCCCCAGAGGAAAATCAGTATTGTTAGTGGGGAGTGGAGCATGGCCAAGTGCAGTGCAGCCAGGATGCACATGCCACCAGCCCTGAGTATGAGCAAGGAGCCCAGCAGGTTGGGGAATGGCCTGTTTGCCCCCCTCCGACCCCAACCCTCAGCCCCATGCTGGCTCAGCCTCTCCCTGCAGTCAGGTCGGGGCAGAGAGAGCAGCCAACAGGCTTGCTTCCAGGCTAAGCAGAGAGATGTGAGCAAGAATGGACCTTGAAATAGGGATGGAAATGAACTTAATTAGACCTAAGCAATCCATTTGTCTCCAGGAAATGACATTTAGTTTTCCCTGGAAGTCCCCAGATTAAGTGGTTTTGCAAAATGCTAAGGTGGAGGATGGATTTTTCGTTGTGGGGAGAAAAAAACAGTAAGTCAATTGCATTATGGAAATTTGTGTTGAGCACCACTTAAGTGCCAGACCTTGTGCTAGGGGAGTGTGGGACCCAGCCCCTGTTGTTAGGGAGCTTGGGACAGGGAGAGAGGAGTGAGATGAGGACAGAGGAGGTCAGTACTGAGGGAGGAGACCCCCGAGTTGGAAGAGGTCTGGGAGTGGGGAGATCTTGTCTGGACAGAGCAGTAGGGGTAGGCTTCCTGGAGGAGGCGGTTGTACTGAGCCTGGAAGAATGGGTAAAGTTACGTGAGCAGCCAGCGCTTGGGGTTGGGGGTGGAGGCTCCGCACAGATACCACCTGACTTTACCCAGCCCAACAGTGGGTACAGTTGAGCCTGGAGCCGCCACTTGTACCCACATCCTGGAAGCAGGCTGCTAGGGATGTTTAGGAAGATCATGTCCCATGCCTCACAATGTTACAGGGGCTGAGGGGTGAAGAGGTTTTGGCCTCTGGTTCAGTTTCCATAAGTTCCTATACCCATTCTGGGTTGGAGAGGAGCAAGTGGGAATTTGCTCTCTGTGTATGCCTACTTTTGAACCTACATGTGTACATGTATCTGTAGACACACACCTTTATCTACATGTGTACACATGTGTTTATTAGCCCAAGTATGTGCCCGGCCTGTATCAACATGCATGTGCGTGTAATCATGTTTGTACGCGCACACACATCTATGTGCACGTGCAGGTGTGTACAGCTGGGTGCACGTGTCTGTGCCTGAGTGTGCGGGTGCCTGTGTCTGGACACGTGTCTCTGTGCCCGTGCACATATCTCCATGTGCCACGCATGTGTGTCCATGTGTGTCTGCAGACCTGTGGGAACAGGTATGTGTATGCACGTGAGTCTGCAGGTGCCTGTGGCTGTGTACACACGTGTGCACACGTGTGTCTTTTGTGCCCCGGGGCCTCTCAGGGCTCATCCGACTGCAGGAGCTCATCATGGCGCCATCGAGATACAACATCCGCCTGAAGATCCGCCAGCTCCCGCTGGACTCGGACGACTCGCGCCCTCTGCTCAAGGAGATGAAGCGAGGCCGGGAGTTCCGCATCATCTTTGACTGCAGCCACACCATGGCTGCCCAGATTCTCAAGCAGGTGTGTGAGGGCTGGCCAGCGGGAGGGGTGCTTGGGATCTGCCTGCCACTTCTCCCGCCACCCCGTCCCCAAATCCAGGCATGCTGTCACCCGGGTCTCAGTTTGACCCCCACTGTGCCTCTTTCTGGCTGTATGACGTTGGGTGTTCACTTCGCCTCTCTGAGCCTCAGTTTCAGCAAAATGGACACAGTGGTCTTTACAGTCCAAATTGATGTGAGACTGGAATGAGATGAGGCGTGAGGAGCCACAGCCAAGCCAGGTGCATGGAGGGTACTGAGTAAATGCAGGTTTCCACGCTACCTCTGTGCAGGTTGCAGGTGGGAGGCAGGGGCTGCCAAGAGGGGCCTGAAGCCACACAGGACAGAACATTTCAGGGAGGGTGGAGAGGCCTGGGGGTCTCGGGAACAGCCCGCAGAGCTCCTCACTGCCCCTGCCAGCGACTAATCCCTGTAGCCCACGGCACTCGGTGTTACTCTCCCATTGCTAGGAGGTTTATCGAGGTTCTTCACACCCTCTGCTCAGCTCTGCAGAGACGGTGAGTGAGGAGAATGGCTCCCAGTCCTGAATGGGCCCCAGTCCCAGACACAGCCTGGCATGGCATGCTGGGCATGAGAGCCACGCTCTGCCAGCCACCTAAGAAATAAAGAGCAAAACTCCCCACAACCCCCTCCACGGGTGCCTCAGAGAAACCAAAACACTCTGATCGGAGCCAATGCTTCAGTGTAAAGGAAACAACGTGGCCCCAGAAAGCGTCCCTGGTGATTGGAGGAGGTATTCTGGGAAACCTGACACATGACCCTGTGAGATGCAGGTGGCAGGGAGGGGACACAGGGGGACACAGGGAGTGCAGGAGGAGAGCTGCTGAGTGGGAGGGGCCAGGAGCCGTTTAAAGGGGGGAGGGGCGCTCAAGTTCCAACCTCCAGTTGGCCGAGAAAGAGGGGCCCCAGGAAATGGCAGCCCCTGTCTTTTCCGAGGAAGCCTCACCCCGAGCTCCTTCACACCGTGGTTAAAAAAGCTCATTTGAGAATTCCAATCCTGCTTCTGCCAAGAGCAAGTGGCCCTGGAATCACGCCCTCCTCGGATGGAGCGAGTGGTCCCTACATTACACGATTATGGAGGATTCATTGGGTCGAGGAGAGGAGATTTTATCCTGGTGCCAGCAAACAGTCACTGAGTATGGGCAGCTTTAAAGTCTCTGTCGAGGAGTCCCACGCTCCCCCAAAATACCTTAACCCTCACCCTCCCAGCCAACTGTGTCCAGCGCATCCCCTCTTCCCAGCGTGTGTCACAATTGTAATGACAACCGGACTTGGGTTTACCGAGGAGTCACTCTGACCCATGGAAACGTAGATCCTCATTTACTGCCACCCTGGGAAGTGAGGACAGTTGTCACGCCCAGTTTACAGGCGAGGAAGCTGAGGCCCAAGAGGAAAGTCATGGGCCTGAAGCCATTGAGACTGCAAGTCAAACTTTACTGCCAGGTCTGTCTTGACTTGAAAACATCTAGAATTAAAAAATGAAGCTTCTGGGCTCAGCGAAACACTGAACTAAACAAAGGTAAGCGTGTCTGCTTACTAAGGACTTCTCTGAGCCTTTAACGTGAGGATGCAGGGTATAAATCTCCAAGACGAGGAAAGAATGCACGGCACTTTCAAAGTGTACTTGACCTAGTGACATTTTTCCCCCAGAGCACTTTGTGGGCCCAGCATTCTGAAGAACTCTGTAGAAAATGCATTATGGTCATTAGTATTATTCATTATAGGCCTCTAATGAAATACATAAAATGTATATAATGTAGGCTTCATGGTGGTATGTAGTAATTCCACAGCGGCCCCATGGCCTGCTGTGTGGTCAGCCCTTCCCAGGAGACTGAGACAGAGGGCAGACCTTCCTCCTGGGCCTCGTGGGGCTGGTGGGGCCGGGCTAGCGCACACTTCTCTCTAGAGCCTGGATGCTCTCGAGTAAAGTCAGGGCACTTGAGAAGGCATCATGGGCTGATTCCAGTAGCATCACTCTAAGTGTGGAAGGCCCCGAGATGGCGTATTAAAAAGACAAACAACTAGGCCCTGCCCAGCCTTTGGAGAGTGTGGCCCAAGAGTCTCTACCAAGTGATTTTTTTTGTTGCTCACTTTCGTGTGAAAGCCACTGCTATCTGCCGGCCAGTCATTGTCACCCTTCAGAGGGGACCTCACAGAACATCCCACTCCAAGTGGCCAGCCTCCTCTAACCTCATGCCCATCTGTCCTGCCACCCAGGCCTCACCCCTGGGGTGGCAAGGAGGCGGGGGCTGCTCAGGTATTTCCAGCAAGTTGCTGACGCTCTGCTTCCCCGCAGGCCATGGCCATGGGCATGATGACCGAGTACTACCACTTCATCTTCACCACTCTGGTAACGTACCTCCGGGTCCTGGCACGGGTCGGGGTGGGACTCCCGTGGAACAAGGTCAGCCTGGTGGGGACAGGTGCTGCCGCTAGAGGAGACCCAGGCTGGACCTGCCTTCCTAAGGCTGGAGGTGTTGCCCCAGGTAAGGGCACAGAAATGTCTTTGTGGCCCACCCACTTTGAGAAGTGACGTTGTGTTGTGACTAAGGGCAGGGACTCGAGAACCTGCCAGTGTGAATAGAAGCCCCTCGCTTACAGACTTAGGGAGGTCATTTAACCTCCCTGCCTCAGGCTCTTTCTCTGCAAAATGGGCATGGTGATGGCTTCTACCTCCTAGGATGGTTGTGGGGACTCAAGGAGTTAATCACGCAAATGCTGAGAGCAGTGCCTGATTCATGTAAAGAGCTATACAAGCCTTAGCTGCCATTATTATGCCGATCCTCTGCTCCTAGCCCACACTTTCCCATGCATGTCTCAAGCCTCTCACCGCAGCAATGGCCACTTTGCATTCTTGTAGTATCCACACTGAAGTGTGCCCACTCACTGTCAGCCAGGCCAGCCCACCTGCAGGCTCCAGATGGGTCCTGTCCAAACACTGAGAACATTTAGGGCCATTTAAACCCATTAGGATAATTAGTTGTGGCCTGAGATCAGCAGAATAAAGAGATCCCAGTGCCAAAGGGACACCAGCACCCAGACGCCCTGCTTTGGAGCCAGACGCCTTCTGACCTCACTGGGGCTCTGGGTGGACCCTTTCACCCAGCCTAGGTCTGGGGCAAGTGACAGCATCACTAATCACCCTGTTGCTGAAACAAGCTCCTGCAGTCTGCATCAGCCCTGCAGACCCCTGTATTCCTCCATTCGTCTAGCACCAGTTCACATTCCTCCCCCAGCCCTGTGCTCAGCTAAGTATCTCAAATGACTGGCGCTGAGGCCCTGCCCTCAGGGAGCTCACGTCCTGTCTGGCCTGCGTCTCTATGTGTAGCTCAGATGGCACACTTGAACCATCACAGGCCTGGACAGATGGCCACGGGGCATAGTCGAAGGAGATGCCAGGTGCTGAAGGCCTAGTGGCAGGTGGGAAGTTTGAGGCAGGCTTTACAGGAAAGCAGATGCTTGGACTGGGCCTGAAAGGATCAGTAGGAGTTCACCAAGGAGCGCGAGGAAGGGTGTGCCACGTAGAAGGAACAGCGTGAGCAAAGGCCAACAGGCCGGTTAGCTCTTCAGTGGAGGGCTGGAGTTGACTCACTCTGGCTGATGGCGAGAGCTGATTGTGTTCATCTCATGTCGCCTCTGCCACATCTCACCACCTCTTTCTCCAACTGTTACCTACCTTCCCCAGGTCAAACTGCTGACTGGACAAGTACCAGTCAGCATTTCTCAACAGGGCACTATATGAGCGTTTGGGGCTGGACAGTAAATTCATCATTTCAGAATGCCCTGTCCCCACCGACTTATTTTCCAGGCTTGGTGACAAATAAATAAATCCTACCCCATATTTTTAAATGTCCCCAAGGTGGGGGCTGGGTCATCAAGCAGATTGTAGAAACCACCCTTGGGACAGGTGACCACTCCTTGGCCAATCAGCAGAGGTCTGTTGATGGGAGGAGGAGGACAGTGGGCTCACAGAATCCAAGACATGACCGCTAAGCAGAGGGTGCAAGGCAGTGGGCGGTTTCTTCAGAAGTGGCAAGGACAAAATCCACACATCTTAATTCAGCCACCCTGAGTACTGCCCCTTGCCCACCCTGCCCACATCAGGGCCTGTGGTTAAGCCCTCCCTGGGCCTTGTTCCCAATTCTAGCTCCAAACAATCAATTAAAACCATCTCCACCTGCCTCGTGCCTCCTTCCAAGGCCAGAGGGCTGTCCCTCAGGGAGCTGACGGAATGGCAGGGCCTGAAACTTTGGACTCACTGCCCTGAGACCTGGCCCGACCTTCCAGGCAAGACTCTGGAGAAGGCGCCACCCCAGGCCCTCCGCCTTAATGCCATTGTCCAACTGGGGTCAAGGTTGGGGTTCTTGAAGGGAGGCACAGGGCAGAACCCCGGCACCCTGGGGCCTTCCTCTACCCACAGACAGTGTCCACTTCTCTCAATTTTTTATTTCCTTAATGCAAGCATTCATTTACTCACTTATCCAGCAGCCATATACAAATGCTCTCGAGATCCCAGGTACTGAGCTAGGCACTTAGGTGGGAAGGGGTGTACAGAGATGGAGCCAACATAAAGCTCACCAGCTGGTCAGCTTCCTTCATGCATGTAAGGATCAAGGACTATGCCTGATTCACCTCTGTATCTCCAGTGCCCAAATAGTGCCTGGCATATAGCAGGTGCTCACAAATGCCTGAATGAATGACGACAATACAAAGTAGAAAGGAAACAAATTATCAACATCTTTGTCATAGCAACAGCTAAGACCACAGACTCTAGGTGCCAGTCTGTCTGCCGAGTTATAGCTGAGATTCTTCTACTTCCTTGGGCAGGTTACTTCACCTCTCTGTGCCTGGTTTCCCCGTCTATAAAACTGCACAGTAACAGTACTACCCATGGGATGGTGATGCTGTGCATTAAATATGTTCGCATCAATAAAGCACTTACAAACGTGCTTGGCATTTAGTTCTCTGTAAGCGTTAAATCAATTAATTAAATAAACCCCTGCTTATGTGCTCTGTGTGCTCAGCATCCCTCATTTCACCGACGGTCCAACTCTCCGAGGTAGGTAAGGCTTCCCCAGTTTTACAGAAAAGTAGAAACTGAGGCTCAGAGAGATCTGAAAAGAAAGGGGCCAAGCGAGAATTGTTACTGGCTGGGAGCTGTGCCGCTCCCAGCCCTCTGCTGAAGCCTGTCATACTGAGATCCTGCAGGAAGTGCCGCCCGGCCTTGTCTGGCTGGCTCTGATTCCACATAGCCAGTCTTGATGGTCCAGGCCTGGTGATTGACACTAATAGGGGCAACAGAGCCTCCGCAAATCCCAGCAGCGCCCACACTTCACAGGTTCCAAAGCCCTTTCTTCACATTGCTGATTCTTCCTCTTCGCAGAGCAGAGTTTGTGCTCCCTGTTGAATGATGGGGAAACATGGGACCAGAGAGGTTGAGGGACCTGCCCTGAGCCTCACAGCATATCAGTAATAGAGGCCTTGGCTCCTGACTTCCGGTCTTGCCCCCCACCTGTTCCAGCCCACTGCCTTTCTTCCTCGTGCCCCTCTGAGTCAGGGAGAGCAGATCCCTCCAAGGAGGCACAGCCCCTGCAATACAAACAGCTCTGCAGTGGAGTGTGGAGTGGGGAGCTAGCAGGGTATCTCCCAGTAGCCCCCCACATGTCAGGGCATCAGCTGTGTCCCCTGGGTCCTCTCCCCCAGCCCATGTCCTGCTTCCAACTCCAACTCCAGGCCCCTCCCCAGCTCTGTTGGCTTAGGAGTCTACTTGAGGATTCGGCCTCTGTGCCTCTTGGTCAGTCGTGGCTGTGTTGGGAGGGCAGTGGCACTTGATATTCATCTCCTTCCCTTTAGGAAACCCGTGTCCCCAACTCTTCACCTCTAAAAAATTCCCCAAACTTGCTTCTCCCACGCAGAAGACATTTTAATTACCCCAGCTGCCACTATCTGTTCCAGCCAGCTTTGAGCCATTCCCAGATAACCCTGCGTTAATCAGCCCCCTCCGAGGCCCTGGTATATGTCATGTGTAGGTAAAAGCCTGGAGGTGAAAAAAGAATTATAATAAATTAATAGATAAGCAATCACAATTAATGCCACTTCGCAGCAATAACAGTTATATCATGGGGAAGATATTTTCATCTGTCATTCCTTAAGGCGATGTTTTTCAAGCTTCAGCTTCTACCCAGTCAGACCCATGGGGTGCTAATGAATTAGTCTATTATGTTATGCTGAATGTTTCTAAAAGGTCCCTCGTCGATACTGAATTCAGTGTGTCAACATTTGGCATGGAGAACAGCAACTTTCTGCCAAGCAGCAAGGTTGTACACAGTTCACTGTGTGCAGCATTTGGGGTCTCAGCCTGGGGCAGTTTGGATTTAAAAAAAAAAATTGGAGCTGGACAAAGAGACCTCTTTACCAGCTCTCTGTTGTCACTGCTCTCATGTCACAGGGATGGCGCACTTGGTGCCACAGCCCTACAGCACTTTGCAGCTAAGCCCAGACTTGGGGTGATATGCAGCCACTGCGTAAGTGTCAGCAGATCAAAAGCTGCATCTGGAGATTGGAAGGGCTGGAGTCACCAGCATCCAAGCCCCAGCTGAAGCCAGAGGTGCCACCCTTCCCACTGAGTCTGGTTGGCCTCTGGTCCTCGAGTCACAGAGGCCCTAGGCAGGCGAATGCTTTGACACCTTTCAGGCCTCAGCTATAAGGTCCACACTGAACTGGAGAGCCCAGTGCAGGGGAAGAGTGAGGCGGGCCCCCACTGCGCGCGGAGCGCAGCTTCTCTTCTGTGGCCCCCACAGTTCAGTGCCGGCCCCCAACTTGCAGACCTTACTTTGAAAAACACAATCCCTCCATCTTCCCAGACTCGCCTCCTTCAAAAGTAATTTGGGTAAGATCTCTTGTTCCTGAAGCAGCCTTGTTGAGGGCCTCATTCTCCATCCAGGCAATTTACCAAACCACTTGTAACTTCCAGCCCCATAGAGATCTCCCCCTGAGAGGAGGATGTCAAGCACTAGTCTTTCCACCCCAGACTCTGCCCAGTACTGTTTAGACACCCCAGAGAGCTACTCAGCTGGCTGACCCTTATATCTGCTTTGGTTGACGAGAGTATTTTGGCTCAGGGGCTCAAAGGGGACGACAGACGCAGACACAGACAATTGTTTTCAGTGGGATAAAATCCCAGAGGCCCCAGGATAAGAACAGAAGTATCCCTGACCTACCCTGTCATGCATGTGTACAGGAGTAGTCAGGGGAAGCTTCCTGGAAGAGGTGACACTTGAGCTGAATCTCAGAGAACAGCCCACCCAAGAAGGGTTGAGAAGACAGGCGTTCCAGCCTGGGGATAGACCACAGACAAAGGCACTGACTCAGGAGGAGAAGCTGCATGATGGGGACAGGGGCCAGCGAGGAATAGGAAAAGGGGATGAAAGTAGTTTGGTGTTCCCTGGCCACAGGGAGTGGGAAATGGGAAAGGGTGGGAAGGAAGTGAGGCCAGAGGGGCCAAGAGCTTTGTAAACTATACTTAGGAATTTGCACTTTGTTCTGAGAAGGAAATAGGAGCCATTAAAATACGTTCAGCAGGTGAGTGACAGGACTGTATCTATCCTTTAGAAAGACACCTCTGAATGCCATGTGGGGAGTGACTGTAATGACGCCCAGTGGATGTGAACTGGGGCCTGGGGGGGGGCATGCATCGTTGAAGTGCCAATGGTTTGACGCTGTTCCTCCCCTGATGTGAAACTTTGAGCAAAAGACCTCACCTCGATTGAACCAAATCCACTGTGATGGTGCTGGATGTTAACCCCGATGGCTGTAGCCATGAGAGACGAGCACAGTGTCCCCAGCCACTGTCTCCCAGCATGTGATGGAGTGACTGAGTCTAGGGACCCAGGAGAGAGAATGGATTGGCGATCAGGATGGAAGGCAGCTTGGGGAGGGGAGGGTGTGGAGAAGAACAGACAGTAGATGAGGAGTTCAGACAACCACCTTAAGGCTCAGTTGTCCCACGCATGGGGGATGGGGCCCTGGAGTGTCAAAGTAATTTTGTCAAAAAGTTAAAAACATAGAATGAAACGTGTGTCAAAGACACCAGGGCACCAGTAGGATGGCAATGCTGGCTCCAAGAGCTTTGGAGGGACTGAGGATTTAGGGATTTGGCGGGGAAACGCTTAGAATAAGGCTGCTGGGTTCGATACAACATGGATTCATGTCCTACAGGGCAATAAAACCACAACCCTGGGGATTACCATTTTTATGGACAAAAATCTACTAGGGCCTGAGCCTTTAACCAATAGCTGAGAGTGAAGTCAAACCCAGGTACGTTTTCCAGGAGAATCACATAATCCTGGGCGGGCTGGTAAACCAGGTTCCCAAACAACATTGAAAGGACATGCTGCTCTCCTGCCTTATGTCCGGGTTTGGGGTCGGTGTTCTTAGCAGGATGGAGCTCTGCTCTGCCCCTCATGCTCCCACCTCCCACCCCACTGCCATCTCTCTTCCGCTGCGCACCTGGCTTCTCCCTCTGTGTCCAGCCCCTTTCCCCAGAGCTGCGGGGAGGGGCTGAAGCTGGGCTGCCCCATGTCTGAAGGCCTGTTTTCCTAGCCCTTAGGCCAGGGCCTGCCCATTGCACCAGACTGGACATGACCTGGCCCACAGACAGACAGGCTGACCTCTGGTCAGCTGCTCCTAGGAGGCAGGGGGTGAGGGGGCCCTGGCTGGTGATGTGGGGGAGGCAGGGGGTGAGGGGGCCCTGGCTGGTGATATGGGGGAGGCGGGGAGAGGACAGGGCCTGGGCAGTAGTACTCTTTGAGTCCCAAGCAGAAAAGACTTTTAAAATAGCCTCCTTTGGGAAATAAAATACCTCCTTCCACCTCCCTCTGGGTGTCTTCCACCCATCGGAGGAAATGACCATTATGATCATTATCAAGCTGCTTTGATGCTTGAGACTGGGCGCTTTATAAGAACTGCTTCACCAGGTCCTGTAAAGGAGGCACAGTCCCCATTTGGTAGGTGAAGAAACAGGCTGAGTGACTTGTCCGAGGCCTGGCAATACATGGGGTCAGCCACCAGGTGGCTGGGTGTTCGGTCACCTCCAAGTCCAGTGCTCCCGTGGGGGCTCCCACCACTGGCCTCACCTCCTGCAGGGAGCTGCAGCAGAGCTCTGGGAGCAAGTAGAGAGTGTGGAGAGGGGGCTGGCGCTTACAGTGGACACACCTTTACTTACATGAACCTCTCTCTCTCTGTCAGGATCTTTATGCGTTAGACTTGGAGCCCTACCGCTACTCGGGGGTGAACCTGACAGGGTTCCGGATCCTCAACGTGGACAACCCCCATGTCTCCGCCATCGTGGAGAAGTGGTCCATGGAGCGGCTGCAGGCGGCTCCCCGGGCAGAGTCCGGCCTGTTGGACGGAGTGATGATGGTATGGCGGCAGGGCGGGCGAAACCCAAGGGCTCCCCTATCCCTTCCTTCTTTTCTCTTTCCCTCCCTTCCTTCCTTCCTTCCTTCCTTCCTTCCTTCCTTCCTTCCTTCCTTCCTTCCTTCTTTCCCTCTTTTTCTCCCTCCCTCTCTTCCTTCCTTTCTTCCTCCCTATCACTTTCTTCTCTCCCACCACTTTCCTTCTTAAGACTTGCCATGTGTCAGCCGGATCTAAGGCTAGGAGCCAGGGACACAAAGGAATCAGACATAGTCGCACCTCAAGGGTGGGAGAACAGGCATGGAAACTGGCTACAGAGAGCTGGATAAGGACCAGTGGATCCTGAGCATGGGGGGCTTTCGGCTCTGACCGGCAGAGGCTGGGGAGGCAGGAAGGCGAAGGTGTGGGCAGGGCCTAGGCAACAGCAGGGCAGTGGGATGGGGTGGGAGGGACTGCCGGGAGGGCTGAGCTGCCGAAGGTGGGAGTCAGGTGTCTGCAGAGCAGCGGAATCCACCCAAGCCTGTCCTCTAACCAGGGGCATGAACAGGGTCACTTCTAGGACCTCATGGCCCTTTCCTCACCAGGACACTATGTGTCTTTGGTGGGGGAGGGGAAGGGGGACAGGGCGGGGTGGGCCAAGGATGCTCTAGAGCGGCTCTCAGGCAGTCCCTGGGCCGTCCCCTCCAGACTGATGCCGCCTTACTGTATGATGCCGTCCACATCGTGTCCGTGTGCTACCAGCGGGCCCCCCAGATGACTGTGAACTCCCTGCAGTGCCATCGGCACAAGGCTTGGCGCTTTGGCGGCCGCTTCATGAACTTCATCAAGGAGGTGAGTGCCCCCCGCATCCCTCACCAGGGCCATCTCCCTGGGGGCCATTCGTGCTGCAGAGCTGCAGAGTGGTCAAGGGCCCAGGTTTGGGAATCAGACAGATTTGATTTCCAATCCACACGAACTCAGGCAAGTTGCCTCACATCTCTGAGCCTCAGTTTCCTTGGGTAAAAATGAGCTTGATAGGACCAATCTTACAGGGTGATTGAGAGGCGAAATCCTTGGCACATAGCAGGTGCTCTGTGGGTGGCCGGCATTGTTGGCAGCATGCAGCATGGGCTTAAAGTACAACAGATGAGGGTCTTTGCCTCTGGCTGTGTGACCTCAGGCAGGCCCGAGGGCATTGCTGAGCATTGGTTGCCTCACCTGTACACTGGGGCACAAAGCATGCCTGCCTCATGGGGATGCTGTGAAGATGAAAGGAGACACCAGTGGAAAGTGCTTAGCACAGTACCAGCCGAGGAGGCTCAGTGAATAATAGTCAGCCCCACACTTCCTCCTCATGTCACGGGCCCATCAGTCAATTTCCCCACCTGGGACCCAGCTCTCCTGGCTCCATGACACCTGTAGAAAAGTCCCATCCGTGGAGCTGATTTCAAGGAACTGGAGAGCAGAAACCTGTCCTGTTGCCAAGAAGGTGACCATGGAAACACACAGTGCCAACTTTTAATTTCAGAGGACTCTCTCCAGCACCACTGTCCTTGTAAACTATGGATGGCAGTTTATTGTTCCCATTTTACAAATGGGGGAAGCTAAGGTCTGGGCTTGCATCCTGGCTCCATCCAACTGGCTGTGTGACTTTGGGTGAGATGACTAACTCCAATCCTGAGTTTCCCCAGCTGTAACATGGAGATAGTAAGAGTGCCTGCCCCAAAGCATTGTGGGGAAGACAGTGGGAAACTGTGCACAAAGCACCTTGCTCAGGGCTGGGCAGAGTCAACTCCCAGTAAATGGTAGATGAAGAAGGTTCAGGGGAAGATCCTGGGTCAAAGAGGGGGACCCTGTCCAGGGCAACATCAAGTGCAGTTAGGGGAACTTATCCAGGTGGGTTCTGTATAGATGATCTCTTTGTAGCAATCACAATGGACCAGAAATGAAGCCAGCTGCCTTGGGAGTTCATTTATTCAATAGATATTTGTGTGGGCCTGCTGGGTGCCAGGCACGGAGTTTAAACAGGTGAGCCCCTGCATTCACAGAGCTCACAGCCTAGGGAGGGAGGCAGGCATCAATCAAGTAATCCCATTAATGAATGCAATCCTATACCAAAAGGAAGGCAGCGCTATGAGGGTAAATGACAAAGAAAACACCACCTTATACTCAGCAGACAGGGCAGCTTTCCCAGGGGTCCTGCATTCACCATTACTGCCTGGGATGAGGCCAGTGACAGCTCCTGCTGCATTTTCAAGTGACACTGGCAGGAATATGGATGAGACACAAGCTTGAGCGTTGACACACGTGCCTTTGGAGTTTATCTCTACCTTTTTCCCAGCTGTGTGGCTTTAGACACGTTCCTGGATATCCCCAAGCATCAGTTTCATCTCCTGGCAAACGCCATCTCATAGTCCCTGTGAAGGAGCAGTTAAGTCTTTGGCACCAGTCCCCTCATCCCTGGAAGGGACTCGTGTCAGTTGTTTTGCTACAAGAGGACCGTGATGGTCCCTTGTCATCCATCCCCTCAACACTGCGGAGGAAGTCCGACTGGCCACTGCCCCTGGGTAGCCTGGGAGATCGTCGGCTCGTTCTCAGGGAACTCGGGGTCCTGACCCCCATGCCCGATGCTCCCTTCCTTGGCAGGCCTCCAGCTCAGTAGCCAGAGGCCAGCATGAGGGTCTTGGTGACTCTTAGGAGCCAGACAAAGGTGGCTTTGAAGCTTAAGCACTTTTTGGCTGTATGACCTTAGACAAACTACTGAACCTCTCTGAACTTCCTCTGTACAGTGGAAATAATAGCAGGGTTGTTGCAGGATTGAGTGAGTTAGGGGATGTGTGACACACTTAAAACTCCGCCCAGCACAGAGCAAGTGTGGAACAGATTGACTGCTATTGCTATTGTTTCTATCGGGACTGTCAGCATTATGGCTTCTTGTTCCCTGGGAGGTTTTTAGCTAAAGAGGACCTCCAGACCCGATAGTTTCAGGGATCCCCACCCTGTTCATCCTTTACCCCTTGGAATGGTTGAGGCTCAGTGATAAAGCCTGGATGAGAGCAGATTTGTCATTGCCCACGCCATAGAAAGGGGAGTCCCATTCTCCCTCCCGGGGCTGACAGGCTCACGAAGGTGTCAGGGGGCCTGGCCCTCCTGTTTCCTGGCCCCAGGCCCAGTGAATGGCCCACATCACTCACACACCTTTACAGAACCCTTTCAGAAACATCTTTGTCTTAACCTCCGTTTTAGGGTGTGGAGACCAAAGCACAGAGCCCCATGTGGCTCGCCCATGGTTCCACAGCTGACCTCCACCGGGCTCCAGGTGCCCTGCTAGAGCCCGGCACAGTCTTCCCTCAGACCATTTCCACGTTGCCCATCTCCCCATCTGACTGCGTGACAGTAAATCATTTTAAAGACTTGGCATTTCCGAGAGGAGCTGGAAAATGCCAGGCCGGAGTTCGGAGCGTGTGAAGCATCTTTCATTTAGCGAGTCCTGAGCCGAGGCTGGAAGGGGTGGGAGGCCTGGGAAATGTCACGGGGAGGAGCTGCAGTGGCTCGCTGCCCTGGCCCTGCCCCTGCCCACCGTCAGGCCGCGCCCCTGCTGGCATTTAATTCTTCAGCCGCTAACAAGGAGGAAGTCTCCCCACGAGAGTGCAGGTTTGAAGGCACCTGCTGTGATTTCCCCTGGGGGCCAGGAGACAGCCTGAGGATGTGGGAGCCTACAGAGGAGGGGGTGGCAGAGGGACTGGAGAGCCAGCCTGAGAGAAGCTGAGCCTCGTGCGTGCGAGGTCGCAAACAGTCGTCTTCACCTTCTCTGATGCATGTTTGATCTCCGTTCTCAACCTCCGGCTCCAGCTCCCGGGGCTCTGTAAAGCTCCCCACTCAGCTTGGGCGTGATGACCCCAGGCGCCTCAGCTCTCCTCCTGCAGACAGGGAATCCACACCACCATTGCTTGGGGCCTGCGCAACTTAGGCCCTGTTGGAGCCTCAGTGCTCATGAGTGTAAAACGGGGTCAGCGGTGACACGCACCTGGCAGACTTGTGATGAAAACTGAATGAGCTCATGCCTGACAGCTGCCCAAGTGCTTAGATTCCCAAGCATTTTGGTTTCGGATCTACAGCTAGGCCTCCGGGGATCTGTGAACCCACGAATTTGTGTGTCAAAGTGTGAGTGTACTTACTCCTGGGGGAGAGGGGGCAGGGACATTTAGGGTGCCTTTCTCAAACCCTGCAAGGGATTGAGGAGCCCAGTGTGGCCCAGCAAGGACTCCGATATTCAGACCTTCTCCTGCCCCCCCCCACGCTCTGGGCCCTCGGACCCATTGGGCTGTGTGAGTTCCCAGCCCACCTTTGTTCCCAAGGACTCCAGGATGTGTGGGTTTGTTCCTCCCCCAGACACACAAAAGCCGTACATTTCGGGCTTTTACCTGTGTGCCAGCTGCATCCTAACCTCTCGGAAGAGGGAGAGGAGGGAACTGCTCCAGCCTGAGGAGTGGGGCCCTGGGGCCCCCACCCCCACTCCATCCCACTGCAGCTTGACTCACCCTCTTACCCCCTCTGTGAGCTTGGGGCCCCTCCAGGCCTGCTTCCTCATCGGTACAATGGGCACCATCGCCTGCCAGGGTCTCTGTGGAGGTTGCATGACATGCATAGCATGAAGCACCTTATACAGCTAACGCTCCGGGCCCACGGGAGAGATATTATCTAGAACGAGAGTCAGCAAACGTTTTCTGCAAAGGGCCAGATAATGAATATTTTAGGCTTTGAAGGCCAGATGGTCTGTGTTGCAACTATTCAGCTCCAAAGTTGCAGCGCAAAAGCAGCCAAAGACAATAGGTAAACACACAGGCGTGGTTGGGAGTGGGAACACTGTTTACAGAATCAGGCAGCGGGCTGATTTGGGCCTGCCCGTAGTTTACCAGCTTCTGATCTATTGTAGAAATGGAGCTTTTCTCAGTTTGGGTCCTGAACCCTCTCTGAACCTCTGCCTGCCTCTCTCTGCGTTAATGATGCTCGTGAAAACTTACCATTTATTTATTCAGCGCTCAGGTTGTACGCGACACCATTCTAAGCATTTTACAGTACTTATCTCAGCCTCCTCCCATTTTAGTAAAATGGGTACTATGATTAGTTCCGTTTTACAGATGAGGAAACTGAGGCACAGAAGTGCAATGACGTTCCCAAGGTCACACCGCTGATTGCCATTGAACCCAGCATTCTGTTGCCACAGTCCTTCATCACACATGCGCGGGGCTGGGGCTGAGGCTGGCAGGGGTGGCCTTCTCTGTCTCCCCTGGCTCTCCAAGGGCCACCCCAAGTGTCTGGTCTTCCAACCAGAGCAGACTTGGCCCCGTGGCTTTCCTGCCTTCTCGGTAGGTCTCGCCTGCCCCACTCCACCTGCCTGTCTCTCTGCCCCTCTCTGGGGATCTGACGTGGGCTTCCCCTTCTCATGGCTTCGAGGCGGGGGCTCATTTGAGTGCGTCTGAGATCAATGTTGTACACGAAAAGGTGCAAATGTAAAGCTGGCTAAAGAGCATAATAGAATTTATGGAAATCGCTGGCTCGCACCACAGCCCGAGCAATGATGGAGGTGATTATTAATTAATCATGGTCTTGGGGGAACAGTATCAGTGCAAGGAGTAATTAAAGTGAAACATTGTACAGTTGTACTGAACGATGATTTATGAGCCTGAGGAATTGCCGCTCTGCCCTCTCCCCTCCGGCAGGCTCAATGGGAAGGATTAACCGGACGGATTGTTTTCAACAAAACCAGCGGCTTACGGACTGATTTCGATCTGGACATCGTCAGCCTGAAGGAGGATGGCCTGGAGAAGGTGCGTGGGCCCAGGAGACGGAGGGGCCAAGACCCAATGCAGCCGCCCCTTTGGGGCTCGACGTGACCCAGTGTGGCCTGTGCCTTGGCTCTTCAGAGACCATGAAGCCCTAGTGAGATGAAGGGTGCAGAACCCAGGGGCCTGGCCACAGCTGACACCCAAGCCATCAGAGCCAGGGCCACTGGGGATGCTTAACCTGGGAAAAGTAATGGAAGGTTCATGGGACAGGCAGACTGTTGTTAAGTTCCTGCAGGGCTGTCATGGGACAGAGGAACAGACCTGTCCTTGGGTGAAACTTTCTAAGGACCAGGGCGGTGTCTGCCTGAGGAGTGGTGAGCTCAGTGTCACTGGAGGCATTCAAGCAATAATTGAACAAAATAATTGCTTGTCTGGGAGACTGGGAGTGACCCTTACTCTTGGAGTGACGTTGAAACACATGGCTTCTGAACTGCCCTAGGCTTCTAAGGCCTCTATGATTCCAGGGAGTTTGGACATGCAAAGCAGGTCCGCCAGGGCCTGGGGACCCCACCTGGTTACCATGGAAATGTCTATAATGGGGTCAATTCTGATCCCTGGGAGCCTTCAGCATATTCTATCAGAGTCAGGCTGCTGGACTGAGAAGGCGGATTTAACATCAGCCCCTGATTCTCAGTATCTCCTGGAACCTCGGGGCCAGGAGCTCAGCTACTCTCTCTCCCACCGCAGGCTGGGCCCGGGGAGCCACCAGGGCACCTCTCCAACCCTGGGAGTGGGGTGTATAAAATGCAGGGAGCAGAGGTCAGGAGGTGGAGAGGCCAGCTCCAATGCCTGGGGGCCTTCAGGAGCCCTGACTCCTCTCCTCCCTCCCCGCCCACTCTGGTTCAGGCCTCTTCCTTGGGTTATTTTGACACTCTCGCCCGGTTTCCCACCTTCACTCCTGAGCTCTCCAGCCACTCGAGTGCACACACAGGTGACGCTTCCCAAAGCCCAGCTCTACCCTGTTCCGAAACTGCCTGTGGCTCCCCAGTGCCCAGTCAGTGAGCTTCTGCCCCCTCCCAGCCTTTAAGGTTCTTCAGAAAATGCCCTAGCTTGCTTCTCCAGGCTTCGTCTCCACCGTCTCAGTCACTCTCCCTCCCTCGTGTTCTTCCGGGACCTTCACCCAGGTGATCCATCTCGGTTGCCCTGGAAGCAGGCGTGGCCTGGGTCTTCTTGGTTCATTCCCTCTGGCTCTGCCTGGATTCCACCTTGTGGCCAAGTTTACTCCATTCATTCCTAAGTTTCCCACAGATTCATGGGGCCACTGTGCTGGGGAGGAGCGGCCAGGGAAACCTCACCATAACACTGCAACTCTTTCATGTCAACTAATAGCATCAGTGCCTTCAGGATGGGCTGTGGCCTCTGCTCCTAAAATCTTCAAGGCCAGTTGGTCCAACCCTGTACACATTGTATGAGTTCTCATTAAGCAGTCTTCCTGCTTCTATTAAACTTCCCCAGTGCTAGGGAGTTCCCTTCCTCCTCGGGCAGTACTACGGCAATACAGAATTCACTCAAGTAGCTGTCTCCTTTTTGTTCTCTCAGCTATCGGTCTCTGGGGATCGCCTGAAATTCTAAGGGTGGCAATTAGATGGCACATGTGCCACCACTTCCCACTCCCGTGCCTGTGGCTGGCATCAGTAATTGGTCATCAGAGCACTCTTTCCCGCTGAGCCCACCCACACCATCCTTCTCCCAGGAACTGGTACAAACTGACCACAGCTAATACTCAGGAAAAACTCTGTCTTCTATACCTGTACTAAGGTTGACCGGCAGAGGCACCCACCTCTAGTGGCTCCTGGTCTCAACCATCCGGATTCTGGGCAGAGAACCCCTGCATGCTAGGTCCTCCTCAGTTCTAACTATCCTCATGTCCCCATGGCACCTGGTGTCTAGCAGGGCATGCAGTTGGAACTCAATAGATGCTTGCTGGGGCAAGGGTTCCCGCTGTTCATTTGGCCTCTAGAGAGATGTTTGTTGAGCGCCTCCTGCACCCAGGCTGAGCTCAGCCCGCTTGAGAGAAGAGCCTCTTTCACTCTATCTCCTTGTCTCCTCTTCTGTTACCCTGGGAGGTCTGCAAAGACAGAGATCCTGCCTGGAGAGGCTGCTGAGCCCCCAGACACAGCCACTCTCCCTCTCATATCATCACTTGTGTTTGCAGAGCTGGGTCATAGCTGATCCAGCCAGCTCCAGCCGGTGGCTTTGGGAGGATTAAGGCAGAATTACCCGAGCATAATTACATGTCTCTCTGCTATCTGCCTCGCACAGCTCTCTTAATGGGGTGTTTGCACTTGGCCTCTCTGTTTAATTGATTAAGTTTCCTGAGGAACCCCCCTTACCCACCACTGGGCCAAGGACAGAATGGGCATGCCGAAACTGTCCTTGAAAGAGAGGAGCTGAGATGGGGGCAGGGCTGGGCAGGATTGGGTCCAAAAGGACCTTTAAGAGGCCCAGGACTTTCGAATGATTTGTAGACTTGATCTTCTGTTGCCTCTCTCCAGCCTCAGGCCTGACAGCAACAAGAGCAGTGTAGGGACAGAGATTATGCCACCTTGGCCAGGGCATCTGCCAATTTTAGAAGTAAAACCACAAAGCAAACTGCCTGCAAACCCAGTGGCATCCAAGGCCCCCACTGAGGGTCATCTACTCTGTTGTACCACCCCCCAAGACAGCTACAAAGGCCAGCCTCCTGCCCAGCCAGCCCTCCTGCACGGGACACACCTCCTCATCCCTTCATTCATTCCATAGATGCTTAGTGATCACCTCCCTTGCTCTGGGCCCTGTCCTGGGCTTTGGAGGGTACCTGGCCCCAGAGCTGGCACTGGGGCTGAGACCCTAGTGAGTGAACAGCTGGGTGCCCAAGGTCTTCCCCAAGAGGTGGGAGGTCCATCAGGCTCAGAATAACTCTGTCCTGGCAGAGGAGCTGACCCTGACCCTGACCCGGAGCCCCTGATTTCCTCATGGCATCAACGCCACACCAGGACAGTTTCCACTGGGCTCCCTGGGTTTCCCTTATGTTCGCCTCTCCCTCCACATTTTCCCCTTCAGCTGTGAAGGGTTTGCCACCAAGGAGGAGGTGACAGAATTCAAGAGATTCAACATCTTGAGGACCTCCTCCTAGAAGGAGGGAGGCAGCAGGGCTGTCAGAAATGTTAGCTCAAAATGTGTTAGCCATGACAGTGATGGTCATGAGGAATGGGACTGACATAGGCTTGTTGGTATGGAGACAGGATAGAGAGACTAGGATTCAGCACTCTGTTCTCTGTCTGTCTGTCCATCCAGGTTGGGGTGTGGAGTCCTGCCGAGGGGCTCAACATCACAGAAGTCGCCAAAGGCCGAGGCCCTAACGTCACCGACTCTCTGACAAATAGGTCACTTATCGTCACCACAGTGCTGGTAAGAGCCTGCAGCCCTGCAGAAGAAGGGACTGTCTGATCCGAGGGCAAGGTGGCCATCAGGGCTGGAGAGGCCCCTCCGTTGCCCCACCCAGTATTGACTGGGTACCTCTTATGAGGCTGCTGGGGGGCTGGGAGGAGGGGGAGGTGGAGCTGCAGGAAGATGGGAACAGTGAGGGTGGCTCAGATAGCTCTCAGAGCTTTTGGAACACAGGAATTCTGCTCATGGCCACAGGCCAGAGACCCCAAGAGGTGGCTGAGTGGCCTCATCCCAAAGATCGCATGGTCAGACCTCATGCCTGCCTGAGACCTGGTTGGCCAGCCCTTCTGTAGAGGCCTGTGTGTCTATCTCACTCCTACTCACTCGCTGAGCCCGGAAGTCTGAGTAAGAACCACGATGGGGTGGAAGGAAGGGGGGTTGACCTGCCCCCTGCACCAGGACTCAGGGTCCATCTCTTCCATCCAGGGAAAAGGCCCTCCCCGCTGGTGCCCCCAGTTCTGGCTGGTACTCTGGCCACGCCCAGAGAACCCAGCAGGTGCCAGGAGCCCACACACATGCCATACTCCACAGTGTCCTGTCCTAAGATCTCTCGTTCACAGTCACTCTACCTGCCAACCCCGCTCCATTCCCAGGACTGAATAGCATCTCCTTCTGACCATTTCAACTCAAGGGTGACTTTTGGGGTCTCCCAGGCTCTCTGCACTTCAGAGCTCAAGGTATTCAGGATGCACTCAGGCCCCTGCCCTCCTCTGAGTGACCAGTGCTGCACCCACTCCACATGTGCCAGCCCCTCCTGGAAGGCCTCCAGGGTGACCAGAGGCTCAGGCCCCACCCTTGCAGGGTGTTGCTCCTGGGGACCCATGCTGGGCCATATTGGGGAGAGGCAGCCAGGTCACAGCCTGGTGGATTCTGACCAAAGACTCTTTGAGGACAATTTTGGCCCCAGTCAGCTTCTCCTTATAATAAAGCAAAATGTTTATAAGGACCATATGGTGAGGTCATCCTCTAAAAAAGGGGCGAGGGACTCAACCTGTTTGGAGTGCACAGATAAAATAAGGCTGCCATGGGATGGGATGGAACCTGGGAGCAGGGCTGGGCACCCCATACAGGGCCCTTCCTCGGGCTTGTGCAAGGCTGGCCCCACCTGCCTCCCTGCAGAAGGAGCTCAGCCAGGCCCTACCGGATGGTCATATGTTTTCCCTCTAGTGTGATTCACCAGCCATATACTTGGTTTTCAAGGAAGGGATGTAGGAAGGGATGTAATAGTTAAACCCCATTCTCCCAGGAACCCCAGTGAGCAGCAGACACCAGGGCCACTGTTGGCTTCTAGGCAGCAATTGTAGCCTGTGGGTCTCAGCCCCAGTCTCCAGGGTTATGACTATTGAGAGGATCGACGTTAAAGCTGATGGAGACCTAATGGGGGTTTTGGACTTGAAGCTGACAGAGCCAGGATGAAAGGCCTGGGGAGACACCTGCGCACCCCCCCCAATTTGGGGTGAGACTCCCCCCAATGGCATTTTCCCAACAATTATACATCCTGCCTGCCTTTACTGATTGACTTTTTGTTAACTAAAAAAATATAAAAATCAGACTGCTAAAACCAGGAAGTCAAAAGATCTCATTAGGAACAGGGAAAAAAATTGTAAAAACATAAAAATCTAAAAGATTAAAGAGAAACAAAGGGAGCAAAGGGATTAGAGTGAGGACTGATGAGCAATTAAAGGAATATTGACGTAGATAAAAATAGAAACGATAAAAGGAGAGTTGAAAGAGAACAAAATAAAAAGGTTAAAAGGGAAATAATAAAGAGAAAGACTAAAATAAGGAAGGAGATAAAAAGGAATGCTATCAAGAAAGACGAAAAATTAAAATAAATAATTAACAGCTCTGGCTAGACACGGTAAAAAATGTAAAACCGGAATGGCAGAAAGCAAAAGGATAAAAGTGTGACAAAGCAAAAATATAAAAAGGGTAAAAATAAAATAATAAAAAGGTGGTAAAAGATTAAAAGCCGGGCTGAATAAAATGTGAGATATAAATAAATAAAGCACTGTTCGGAAGACAAGCTTTAAAAAGGTAAAACTAGTATGCTTTAAGAGATTAGCAGGAGAAATGATTACATGAGCTAAGATGATTCAGGCCCAAAACAATATTCTAACGGTAAGAGGTGAGCTAAAGATAATATGCCCAAAGAATGCAAAATACACACCCTTTGAAAGATCACAGGGTTAAATTTTATTAAAATGGCAGCAGCCTGATTTCAAGGGCATAAGACCCTTCCGCAAAGACACAGGGGATTTTTTTTTCTACACCAGCAGATGCAGAATCCAGCAGACATCCCCTGCTCTTCTCACAGCTTCATGGTTAATAACTCACAGCTTCTTGCAAAGCTCCCAACTGACCTGCTATACTCAGCGCTCACTGGAGGTCCCACCTGGGACCCCGGCTGGCTCCTAGGAACCCAGGGGTCAGGGAAGGAGAGCAGCCCCTCTTGGTCTGTAGCCTGGACACAACTCCATCTGTCCCACTGCCCCTCATCCAGGCAGACGTGAGTTTCGCAGCTCCTGGGAACATGCACTCTGAGCAGGATGCAGGGATAAGACTGTGATGGCTAAGAGCACAGGCTTTGGGTTTGTCTTGGCTTAACTGTGCACTAGTTGTATGACCTGAACAATTGCTTGACCATTCTGTACCTCGGTTTTCTCATCTGAAAAAGAGAGGTGATCATAATTGTACCTACTTCAGAGAGTTGAGAGGAATAACGATTAATAAATGTAAATGGCACGGAGTGTGTGCTAAGTGATAGCTGCTGTTGTTTTTAATTCACATTATTATTGATTCCAAATGCAGTCCCCAGGAAGCTCGGGTTTAATACAGTATGCAGAGTGACAGTTCTAGACAAGACCTCTGCTTCTGTCCACAAGCACAGCCCTGAATTTCACTGCAGACTGACACCTGACCATGGTCGCAGGGGTTATCTCTAGCACAGGGTGCATTATAAACTTTGAACTTGTATTGGCTGCCTTTCAGGCCCGATGGGCATTCCTTGGCTCACCACAAACCCCACCACTCCCTATTGTTTACACAAGGCTTCCTTTTGTATATTATAACGTTGTTTCCTGACTGGCCCCTGAAGGCATTAGGGTTTGTGACCTCCTGAGTCCCTCCATAGCTCTAGTCTCCTACTAGTATGTAAAACTCCATGTCCCAGCCACCACTTCACCTCCTACCTTTGCCAAGGTCTGAGCTCCTGGCTATGACATCATGATTATCCCCTCCCTCTGGTCCCCATTGCTTTGACCTCTCTCATGGCTGCTGACCCAGATGTCCTTAAGCAGAAGTCCTTCCTGGGGGAGTCTTCTGAGAGAGAGATGCCCACTCCCACTCCAGGACTGGCCTAGGGCCACCTGATGACCTAGAGCTGGTCCAGACACTCTGGGGAATGTGCCAGAAAGCCTCAGTGTGGTCTGCATGTCCCTGAGCCCTGGGGTGCCCCAGACTTGGGCTCTTTGGGGCAGCTGCACCAGTTGTGGACAGTGGCCCAGCCCAGCTGCTCTGGCTGAAAACCCAGCCCAGTGCTTGGCAACCTGAAAGCAGGTCCAGCACCACCCGCTGAGAGCACTGGGCCCTGCAGGTCTAGAGTGTGTTGTCAGGGCAACAGCGCTTTGAGTGACAGGCAGGTAAGTATAAGGCAGGAATACAGGAAGATCCAACTGCTTTGCCCCTGGCGAACAGGGCTAGCCCCAAGAACCCTGGCATCTGGAAGTGGTAGAGGGCAGTATCTCTGTGTGGGCTATCCCCAAACCCACCTCTCCCCCATCCTGAACGCTGGGGTTAGGGGTGCCTTACCCTGGCCACACAGATGGCTAGAGCCCTGACCCCACTCTCTCTGGCCCCTCATCGCCGCAGGCAGCCTTCCCCATTCCTGAGGCAGAGAGCCTGGAAGCCTGCCCTCCCCCACCCTCTCCTTGCCTGGCCCCTACCTCTGTTCTGGTTCTGCTCTTCCATGAGCTCATGAAAAATTCATCTGCCCAAACCTCAGCTCACACGCCGAGAAAGCACACCCAGCTCATTCCTAGGGGCCTCGCTTTTGAAGAAGGTTCAGTATTCTTTTGGCTGCCGAAGTGAGCAGTGGTGTCAGCGTATATGTGGGCATGTGTGTGGGTGTGGGGCCGTTATACACGTGTGTCTGAACACGCACTGATGGGTGTATTTGTGTAGTGTGCACGTTCTGACCCACACAGACTCAGTTTTCAGGCAAGTGAACCCGTGGTGCCCAGCTGTGAGAGAGGGGAAAAGTGAAGGAAGGCTTAGATGAGGGCTGGGAGAACCATTTCAGGTGGGGAGAACCATTCTAGGCCTCACCTGCTGGGAGGGCAGGACACCTATTACTCTGTCCTTGTTTTACCTGGCACAAGTCAAGGTCTTGGGTCCAGGGTCCTTGGCCTGTACGTCTGAGCAGGGCTAGGCGGACAGAACATTCAAGGATGTGTTTTATTTGTGCCAGTGGCATTGTGTGCACATGTGCATGCGTGTATGGATGTGTGTGGATGCTGCCTAGGTTGGAAGGGGTGTAGGAACATAGCTGTCAGGTAGCTAACCCCTGGATCCTTCCACCAAAGATACCCCACTCTTCCAACTCCACAGGTCCCGTCCCTGGGAGAAGCTTAGCACAGGGCCCAGCTTTCGCATGGGTATAAGCGATCAGAGGGAAACTAGACTAACAGCCCTGGCAACCAATAGTCAGAAAAGGTTATTTTTCTGGACCCCTGTTTCCTGTGACTTGTTGAAGAGAAATATTACCCCTGCTCCTTCAGCGGTTCCCCCAGAGCAATAGGAGAGCGTGAAGTTATGAAATTGAGGGCACCTTCACCGAGCAATCGATTAGCAGCCGAGAGAGCTTGTGAATTGGCTGTCTGGACATTTCCAGTAATAAATTGTGAAATAGTCCATGAATAAGTAGTTGGCGGAGTTCAGAATTACCCCCTAGGAAATGTTGCAGGTCTAGAGACACATTACGAAGGCGAGCACCATTTTAATGCTCTGGGCTTTGGCTGTTAAATATGTATGCCATCCGCACAGCACTTCCCGAAATTAATGGCATTTTACAGCTGCTCCAAAAGTAGCATATTTATATGGAGATGTATAGATTCCGGGGGCTGGGGTGGCTTCACAAATGAAGTGCTAATTTTAGAAGATAGAGCCAGGGAGGGGCAGGGAGAGGGGGTCAGGAAGTGAGCTACCTCAGGGACCTTTCCCTAAATGGGTTTTCTACCGCCAGTTATGATTTTTAACCTTTGGTGACATTGGGCATGGTCTCTAGGCGGAAAAGTTCACTGTGGTAACGGGCCACCCAGCACACAGAAAGGAGGCAATAGTGATATTAGTAAAAATAAAATGAAATAATAACAGTAATAATATTGGCAGTTTATATTTGCCAGGCACTCTTCTATGTGCTTTTCATAGATTGACTCAATTAATCCTCACATTAATCCTGTGAGGTAGGCTCTAGTATTATCCCCATGTTACAGAGGAAGGTGAATTTTGCCCGGGAATCTATGTGTGGTTGATAATTGCCCTGGGAAAGATGATACCTTCTCTACAAATATTTTCTTGAGCTACCGTTAGGGCCACCAGGTACAGTGCTGCGGTCCGTTCACTGCACGAGAGCATCCGACTAGGAGGATGAGTTGGGACTGAAACCCCGTGCTGGCCTTGCTCACCAGGCCCCATGCCAGGATTCAAGGCAGCACCTTCCCAGAGACAAATTTATACAAAAGTAGTGTATGCACTAGCCAAAGTCCCCTTTCTTTTGCGTAACCCCAGCACCCTCCCTGGCGCCAGCTGGGCTCTGTTCTCCAACCCTGTGATCAGCCTACTTGATTGGAGGGTACGGAAAGGAAGTGCTGAGGTTCAGCATGGAGTCTAGTCAAAGGGCCCAGCTTTCTACCCAGTTAGACTGAGAAGTGGTTTTCTCAGAATCCTTGAAGAGGCAGGAACCTCTTGGGGATTCAGATACACCCCAGCTCTTTCTCTGAAGCAACCCAAAGGACTGTTGACAATCTAGAGAAAATCAGTTGTGGGGTGGGATGGGCTTTTGAAAGTCGGCGTTGCTGGGGATCCAGGGTCAGAGAATGGAGCCCACCCGCCAGAGCAGGTCCCTGGCAAGAGGCTGCTGGTGGGTTTCTGCACCCAAGGACCTCCAACGAGGGTCGCCACCAGGGCCTTCCATTGCTCACCCCACCAGAGGCCCCCCATGTCAAAGGAATGGCCACGCCAGTTGAGAGAATGATAAGATACCTCCATAATTAGGTGTGTGGCCTTCTTGTGGGCTTGTATTCATGAGATTCCCAGTACAGGTGCATTCTGAAAGCTAATGGTTGTCGCCCATCAGCTGCAGGCTTGAGGCATTCTGTCACGTGGATGTGCCATGGGGGCTTTGGGGGAGGTGAAGCCCCAGAAAGAGACTGAGGAGCTACAGGCAGGAAGAATTGGAACTGAACTCTATCAGACTATATAGTTCGACTCCTGTGCAACCTTGGGCAACTTACTGACCTTCTCTGAGCTTCAGTTTTCTCATCTATCAGATGGGGATAATGTCACCTATCTTGCAAGCTTGTGAGGCTTATATCAAACAGCCTATGAGAAAGAGTTTAAGTTGGTGCCCTGTAGAGAGCAGGAACTCAATACATGCAGAGTTTGCTAAGAGTTCAGCTTGTCCGTCACAGACTCAGGATGGAGATATGTAAGTGAAGCCGGGTACATGGAACCAGCAGAATCATGGACTCGGATGTTGACCTGGACTCTGGAACCATTCTGTGGGCCTAGATTCTGCCATGTTGGGTTCCACAGTTCTTCATTCTGAGTTTCTCAGACAGGACAAGGGCAATAGCTACTTTCCACTTTTTCCTGCCTCTTCTCCCAGTTATTCTTTGCAGGCTCACCGGGGGTTTGTTTCTAAATGAGATACATGAGTTGTGCCCTGTTCAAAACCCTTCACTGGCACCCCATCACCTGGGAGGGAGGAAGCCTGATATGCAATAGCTATCAACTGTGCTCTGACCCCACAAGCTATCTTCTGAGGACCCCGGCCCCGCAGGGAGAAACACCTTGCAACTCAGGGCCTCTGGCACAGTGAGGCTTCATCAATCTGAGTTCAGATCCTCTCTCTATAGGACAGGTAAGCTCCCACCAGTCACTTATCCTCATGAATTCACTTTCTACACCTACGAGATGGGATTATTAGTACCTAACCCCAGACGATTGAAATTAAGGTTAAATGAGGCAATACCAGCTACCGTCTCTTGAGCCCTCCTGCTCTCCTGGGCTCCGTCCTAGGCCCTCCACCGATATTATCTCATTTGCTGATTTACTAGTGCCCAGCACGCCCACTTACAAATGCCAGCTATCCTGGTTATCAGGAATCACTCACCTGGTCGATCCTAATGCTGGGGACTGATATCCCTGGAAAGAGAGCAGTATCGGGGAGTGTGTAGATCTAATCTTTTAAATAGGAGTTGGGAGAGACATCAGGGAAGATGCTTGATGATGTGCCTTCTGCAGCCGTGTGCTCAAACTTGAGCCAACAGCAGAATCCCCTGGAGGGCTTCTTACAACACATACTGCTGGGCCCCACCCCAGCGTTTCTGGTTCAGTGGTTTGGGTGGGGTCTGAGAATGTGTAATTCTGACCAGTTCCCTGGTGACGCAGATGCTGCTGGGCCGGGAGCCACACTGAGAACCTCTGGCCTGTGCTGATGGGGCGGCGGACAGAGTATGGGATTCAGAATCAGCCTTGAGTTCAAATCCCTGTTCCACCACTTACTAGCTCTGTGACCACTGGACAATTAATAAATACCTCCTGAGCCCCTACCTCATGCCAGGGACGCCAGTAGGAGGCCCTCTGGGAAGTACAGAGTTGGCTCTCAGGAAATGTGCTTTGCCATCCAAGCCACCCAAAGGTTTTTGTTTTGTTTTGTTTTGTTTTTTTTGTTTTGTTTTTGTTTTGTTTTGTTTTTAAACACAGCAGCAGAGCTTCCAGCCCAAGCTCTCCAGTCCCAACCGGCCTCCCCCACCCCCTCAGCCTCCCTCAGCTCCTCTCCTGTCTGTCCCTGCAGGAGGAGCCCTTTGTCATGTTCCGAAAGTCCGACAAGACCCTGTTTGGGAATGACCGGTTCGAGGGCTACTGCATTGACCTGCTCAAGGAACTGGCTCACATCCTGGGCTTCTCCTACGAGATCCGGCTGGTGGAGGACGGCAGATACGGGGCCCAGGATGACAAGGGCCAGTGGAATGGCATGATCAAGGAGCTCATTGACCACGTAAGTGGGGCTGGAGATGCCCCAAGGCTTGGCCAAATCTTGGGTGCACATCAGTGTGGGGCATCCCGGCAGACAAAGGCCTTGGGGGCAAGGGAGATGGGGACAAAGGCTACGACCTGGGTGAGGGAGACCCAGCTCTCAGGCCTGCTTTGTTCTTCATGCTCCCAACTCCTAGACACTCCCCTCCACACACACACACACACACACACACACACACACACACACACGCGTGCGCGCGCACCACTTCTGACTCAACAGCCATTCCACCAGTGTCTTTGATGAGCTCGCTCTGCAGGATCACTGCCTCCTGCTCCTTTAAGAGCTACCAACGCATGCCCCTGCCATGCAGGCAAAGTGCCATTACAAAATATTTCACCAAACTCTGAGACAGAGTTTGATCTGTGATTGTCTTGCGTAACTTTGGGTCCAGTGGGGAGACAGGGAGTCCAGGGGACCAAGGGCTAGAATGAATGAATGAACGAGGCTCAGCTGGGAGGTGCCAAGGAGGTAGATTTGTACTCTGCCTGAGATGGGAGGGGACCCAGGAGAGCAAGGAGTCGAAGCAGCAGGCAGAGGTTCTGGGAGAGAGAGCTGGTGGTGGGAGGGGCCTGAGGTTTGTGGGGCACTGGGAGGCAGACAGAGAGAAGCCACAGCAGGGGGAGTCAGGAGGCCCTGGGTTCGAATCCTGTTTCTTCATTCATTGGCTATATAAACAGGCACGTCGCTGGACCTCCCTAAGTGGCTTTCTCATCTGTCAATGGATATAATTCCCCCTTCCTCACAGGATTGTTGTGATGCTGGACATGAAGCATTAGGTGCAGGGCCCAGCCCACAGCCACCCCTCAGTAAGAGGGAGGCTTGTAAGATGCAGTGAACACACATGTCACTGTAGTTAGAAGCCCAGGCCGTGGACCGCTGGACCAAGGTTCAAGTCCTGGCTTTACCAGCTCATAGATGTACAACCAGGTAAGATCATCAGTGTCACTGAGCCTCAATTTCTTCACTTCTAAAATAGAAGTAATTAGCAACTACCATAGCTCCTTGGGTTGTTGCGGGAATTAAATGAGGCACCATTTATACAGGCTTATCCGGCACATTACCTGCCCTTCCAGCTCAGGGCCCTCGACTCTCCAGAAGCATTTTCTATCAAAGACCTGCTCAGGAAGGCATGGACCTGATCTATACTGGACTCTTATGTTCCTTCTGCCATTTATCCTGACAACAACCCAATGAGGTACCGTATTTGCCGGCGTATAAGACGATTTTTTGGCCCTGAAAAATATGCCTCCAAGTGGGGGGTCGTCTTATACGCC